CATCATACAACACTTCAGTTTACTGTATGTGGTGCTAGCTGGATCACCATCATACAACACTTCAGTGTACTGTAGGTGGTGCTAGCTGGATCACCATCATACAACACTTCAGTTTACTGTAGGTGGTGCTAGCTGGATCACCATCATACAACACTTCAGTGTACTGTAGGTGGTGCTAGCTGGATCACCATCATAGACTTCAGTGTACTGTAGGTGGTGCTAGCTGGATCACCATGATCACCATCATACAACACTTCAGTGTACTGTAGGTGGTGCTAGCTGGATCACCATCATACAACACTTCAGTGTACTGTAGGTGGTGCTAGCTGGATTACCATCATACAACACTTCAGTGTACTGTAGGTGGTGCTAGCTGGATCACCATCATACAACACTTCAGTGTACTGTAGGTGGTGCTAGCTGGATCACCATCATACAACACTTCAGTTTACTGTAGGTGGTGCTAGCTGGATCACCATCATACAACACTTCAGTGTACTGTAGGTGGTGCTAGCTGGATCACCATCATAGACTTCAGTGTACTGTAGGTGGTGCTAGCTGGATCACCATGATCACCATCGTACAACACTTCAGTGTACTGTAGGTGGTGCTAGCTGGATCACCATCATACAACACTCCAGTGTACTGTAGGTGGTGCTAGCTGGATTACCATCATACAACACTTCAGTGTACTGTAGGTGGTGCTAGCTGGATCATCATCATACAACACTCCAGTGTACTGTAGGTGGTGCTAGCTGGATTACCATCATACAACACTTCAGTGTACTGTAGGTGGTGCTAGCTGGATCATCATCATACAACACTTCAGTGTACTGTAGGTGGTGCTAGCTGGATCACTGTGATCACCATGATACAACACTTCAGTGTACTGTAGGTGGTGCTAGCTGGATCACCATCATACAACACTTCAGTGTACTGTAGGTGGTGCTAGCTGGATCACCATCATAGACTTCAGTGTACTGTAGGTGGTGCTAGCTGGATCACTGTGATCACCATGATACAACACTTCAGTGTACTGTAGGTGGTGCTAGCTGGATTACCATCATACACTTCAGTGTACTGTAGGTGGTGCTAGCTGGATCACCGTGATCACCATGATACAACACTTCAGTGTACTGTAGGTGGTGCTAGCTGGATTACCATCATACACTTCAGTGTACTGTAGGTGGTGCTAGCTGGATCACCGTGATCACCATGATACAACACTTCAGTGTACTGTAGGTGGTGCTAGCTGGATCACCATCATACAACACTTCAGTGTACTTTAGGTGGTGCAAGCTGGATCACCATCATCATCATGATACAACACTTCAGTGTACTGTTGGTGGTGCTAGCTGGATCACCATCATACAACACTCCAGTGTACTGTAGGTGGTGCTAGCTGGATTACCATCATACACTTCAGTGTACTGTAGGTGGTGCTAGCTGGATTACCATCATACACTTCAGTGTACTGTAGGTGGTGCTAGCTGGATCACCATCATACAACACTTCAGGTTTTCCAAGAATGCACCGACTAAATACTTCATTGAATTTCATGGGCATCATTTTGCTATGTATTAGCATTATTGCTATATTGATATTGGTTGGGACACAGACACTGTATTCCCACATAGGAAATTTACATCATGATCAGGTTATCAGTCAGTTACCTCTTCTGCAAAGTTCAAGAGGTTGTCATTTAGTCCAGACAGAAGTTTATGCGGCACATTTCAAGCAGTCAGCTCCTTAGATTTAGTATAGAAGATAGTCTCTGGCCCCATGTAAAATTTCTTCACATTGCATGGTTATTCTTAGCAAGGTATGCAATCCCCTCTCAACATTTTAGCAAATACTTAACATGTTGACTGCTTCATAAGAACTTCTCTATGTGCCTATTATTTCTTTAATCACTAATGACTTTGCCTCCAGGCTCTTTAAAATGTCTTTAATTCTCTGAATTGTGATTTGAAGACAGAAAGGCAATTTGTCAAATAAATATTTCGCTTTAGAAACAAACGTGAAAAAAGATGATTTCCTCATCATATATGCAGAACAAATACTACCTAACCAATTTCACATAAAAGTGTCAAAATTAATTTTCTTTACAATATCATAACTTTATCCTTAACAGTTTCATACTCCTAGTGAACAATTGGCGCCCAAATATTGAGAGGGGCGCCATTTCCTTCTGATTTAAATGTGACAGGATGTTCATCAGTACTAGCTGCACTTTGAGAAATCATAGCAAGATTGCCCTTCAAGCACTGGTTATTCTACTTTACCAGTTTCAAGAAAGAAAATTCTACCTTCGTGATAATGTCCTCTTCAGCAATGTAATTAGTTGATACATTTTCTGTTTACTGTTCACATATTTACATTTGTTAGTATACTTGATGAACAACATGTCTGTAATTTATCGTCAAGGTTTTTTGTGTGTGACCAATTAATCCTCATTTACATCAAATATGCAAGACATAATGCTTCCCTAGGGCTCATTTCACAAGAATAATTTTGTGTCATGTTTTCAGCCCATATGCAGCTGTATTTAAGATGACACTAAAATTATCACCACCATCTCCCAAGAAATCAGATGACCTATGTCATCAATTATCAACCATGGAAAATGTCTCTTGGAGTGGCATTTTCCCAATACTTGGCCCAATTTCCAATCTATTACTTGACTGAATTATTCCTTCCATGAAACAAAAAACATTTTCCATTGATGTTTGTAAGGCCAGGAATATGTTAAGCAAATAACACCATGCTTTGGAGAAATGCCAAGAAATTTCCTAAATCTATAAAATAAGATTCACTACAAGTGTTTAGAGGAAACAGGGATTTATTAGATCTTGAGAGCAATGTCTTTCAGATAGTTCTTGGTTTCTGGCAAGCTCATCTCCTGCATTCCTCTGTGGATTTCTCCCCATTTTCTAAGTCTTCAAAATGGTAATTAATCCAACTGCAAGGACAAGACAAAAGTATGTATCATAGTTTCACTTTTAGTTAACTGATTTAACTGTCAAATTTATGCTGCCAGATTTCAAAAGTTCTGACTGAATACCAAATGCTCAGGTAAGTTTATATGGGTACCCCAAGCTCCAGGATATCGCTTATGTCAAGTCCTTTACAGACAAATGTTTTCAAATGTCTTCACTGAGTTAGCAGTGCTTATATTTGCAATGAGCTTTGTAAAGAAAAGAGGCAAATACATAGTCCAAATGGATCTTTACATGCATATAAAGTAAATATATTCATAAATATATACATACTTACATTAAAAAGAAAAATTGATGAAAGAATATATCTATGTTCATACCTTTTTGAAGCCAATGTCATCAGAATATTCTCTGAAGCACCTTCTGCACATGTTCAGACCATATTTACGGATGATTCCGTGAGTGTTTTTGCACACTCGGCTGAAAAAAATACAGAAACAACTTAAACTGAATCTGAAGTTTCAAAACAAAGTATAACAATTTAAAAAATATGACTATTATTACAACAATTTAGTAGCAAAATATTTTATAGCGCTAACAACATACAGAAATATACAATATCAACTAGAATTCATGCCAAACAACTTCTACCATATTTTTGTTCCCAAATTACAGTTATATAAATACATATTCCTGTATTTGTAGAGCTGAGATACATTCATCTCTGCATGTTTCATTCAACAAAAGCTGATCATTATTTTGTACATAATACCTTCTTTTTAGTAAAAATTAGTGACCTAATGGGTACTGTACATTTTCTTACATGTAGTACTTGCTCATGGCCAATATTTCTCAAATCTAAATAGTGCATCAGTCCTTGCAAAAAAAACAGTTCTAAAGTATTATCATTTAAAAATTCAACATCATGGGATTAGATGTTATAGGTTTTTCATTAAAAGACATTAAGAGGGTGAACTCAAAAGACAATTAATTGCTGTAAATAGTTAGAAAAAACTAATTCAATCAGTTATCTTTAGCACAGTTTCATCTTGACCTGTCCCTTGGCCTCAATTTTGGATATGGAAATTAATCTGGGATTCTTCCTGGAGATATTTGAATATTTTTCAAAATAGGTTTTTGAACCAAAATATAGGAAAAAAGAGATATAGGAATCGGTTGACAGTGTGAGACCTATGAACTCTTTTCTGGATAATAAGTCAAGTGGGCCTATCTTCTGTCCTGTCTCGCATGAAAAAATATGATTGGATGGGTTTCCATACTAGTACACAACGCTAATTCATGTTTCTTTTCAGAATTGCAACAATTCTCTCATCTAAGATTTCCATGTTTACCAAAACATGTTGTCACCCCGCTATCGTCATTTTCAAAAAGAGGAATCCCAAGGTATTTTTATAATTATACCGAAGTAGACTTTCATGAACAATGTCGATACGCTAGTGTTTATTTGGAATAGGAATTTACGATGATCTTGGGAAACAAACTTAAGATCAGAATGTAATTTCTATTAATCTACGGGGAATCGTCTAAACGAGTTATTACCTATAGTCTATAATTGTGGGGAAGACTCGAGAAAAGGGGGGGGGATAATTCCACAGGATTGATCATGTATCGTGACAAAGATATCCTATTCCTTTTCAACCCACTATAATCAGAGTGTTAAAATTGTCATTATTGTAAAAGGGAATGTTTTATCTTTTAATAAATAAGATTAGAAAAGTTGTATACCAGTAACGGGAGCCTGGCCCGAACTTTCTGGGATGCGCATTCCAAATGTTTGCGAACCCCATGATGGCGATATTGGAAAAGAGAGCGCATGGGTTGGCCTCGCTCTGACGACGGAAACATTAAGCGACACCTATGATTTCTGATTATTCTAAGATGCAATTTTATCGTAATGAAGCTAATATGAAAAGCATCAAATATCATCCAGACATTTATGTGTTTTTTTTTGTGTTCGAAATATATCTTAAATTGCTTGATTGGGATGATGACATAAAAGTTCGAAAATTTTTAAACAGCTTTACTTATCTGACTGTCAAGATGGCCGCCCCCATGAAACATGTTTTTAGAGTGATTAGGGCTTGCTCAGATAAATTCTACAAACACACCGGATTCGGATTCATGTGTAGGACTAGAGGCACAATAGGATATACACAACTTATACGTCCACAAAAATACTCGTGTTACAGTAAAAGGTAATGCAGTGATTATGATTCCCCATGTCAACCTGTGCACCGCTGAATTTAGTTGTATGAGAGGTTGTGTGGAGGTCACCAATAGCTGGAAAACTGATAATTTTTAGGTAGATCATAACAACTGATAAAAATAACAGTTTTGGATTACACATGTAATATTCCATGAAATTTGATTTTACGACATGATATAGACTAATTCACTTTTATCACTTTACCACAAATATGACCAATTGATCAAAGGTAGGTAACTCCTAATTTATGTAAATATAAACAAATAATTTTTGAAATAAAGAAAAACTGTAATATGTAGAATCCCTTCGCTGTGTTTAAGCTCTCTCGCTCTCTCTCTCTTTAATTAATTTTTTTCTCTCTAAGGTTTTCGTTTATTTATATCTTTGAAATATGATTTACTCCATTTTCAGTTTTCATCCTACATGGAAATATGGAGGCTATACTGGCATTGGAATTTGGAGTTTTTTCACTATGAAAAAAGAAGAGGTTAATGAAACTGAAAAAGAAGCTGAACATGATGTCACTGATGGAGACAAAGATAAAGATTTGCTTCAAGACCAGACTGATATTGAGCACTACATTAGACTAGCAAAAATTGCACAGATGAAAAAGGAATTTGAAGAGGCAGACATGTACTACCATAAAGCATTGAAGGTAGCAAACAAGAAGTTTAAGGCAGATAAACTCTCAAAAAAGCTCAGTATACAAGCTAGGACATATATCTTTGATGCAATGGCTGATATGGCTCTCAGTCAGGGGAAGTTTGACAAGGCAGAGGTTTTATACAAGGACACACTTAAGGGTTATCTGGAGACTGGTGGAGATAGGAAAGACAATGCTGTGATGGAGCTTACTCTGAAACTATCTAGTCTTTATGCCATGATAAAGAAGGACCACGAGGCCAGGCTAGGATTAACAACAGTTATAGAATGTCAAGAAGAAAAGATTAAAGCTAATCCAAAATCTGACATAGATACATATGGACTGTTAGGTATTGCCCTTCAGACATACGGCCGATTTCTCCTCCACCATAATGAACTGGAAAAAGCTGAGACTGTTTTCTGTCGTTGTGAAGAAATATGTTCACATGCAGTAGGAGAAAATTCTTCTCAGATGCTTAGAGTGTTAAATGATCTAGCAGCAGTGCAGATAGTACAATCAAACTATACCAAGGCTGAAGTGACCCTACAGAAGGCTTTAGTGATAAGTCAGAATATGGAATCATGTGATGCTGTGCATGCTATCTATAGCAATCTGGGTGCGATCTCGCTCAAACTGTCACAGCTGGATTTAGCAGAGACAAGGTGTTCAACAGCTTTAAAACTGGCCAGAGAAGCTGGAGATGAATTTGCTCAGAAACAAGCTTATCATTGTTTACGAAAAGTTAAGGAGGCAAGACAATCTCAACCTGTTAAGTGATTATGTAGATATAAATTTTTGCTTACATATATGTTGTCTCCAAAATTGCAATACATGTTTGCACTTTGACTGATAATTTGATTTATTTGTAGTATATTCTAGTCTGACTAGAGTTATCGAATTTGGATATTTAAACAAAATAATATCAGTACTATCTACAGTACATACTTATGTACATAATACTGTATATTTAATTTACTGTGGAAGGTATACCTCAAAAACACCTGTAAGGTATATACAATTATACATATCAACTATAGAAATGAGCAAATAATTGTTTATATAGCTATTTACATGGAATGTTTTCATGAATACCCACTTACAAATAAGGCTTAACAGATTGGTTACTTGCAGTTTATTGAAGATCTAAGACTGGTGTGATAGGCACTGTGTATACGTCAGAAAGATACAAAGTTACAAGTATTACAAACATGTATAACCTCTAGCCTGGTATAGCCTGATTGTTTAATTGAGTTAAAGAAACTGGTAACCTTGGTATTGACTGATATCTCTGATGCTGACTGCTAACTCTTCATATTGACTAGTAAACTTGTAAACTTGGAAGGTTTTAATTGGAATTTATTAGTCTGCTATATATTGACTTGAAACTCTGATATTGACAGTGAACTCTTTCTAGTATTGATTGATAACTTTGTTATGGTCTGGTTACCTTGGTATTGACTGGTAATTCAGGTATTGACTGTTAACTCTCTCTAGTATTGACTGGTGACCATGGTATTGATATCTGTTATTTATGATGGTCATAACCAGAAAACATTATATTTTGTTCCTTTATTGGTTGTGCACTGTGCTTTTTATGCATGAATCTTCTGAAAAATGTTAGATAACTATATTACTCAAGATAAACATATTAGGAATTTATATGAATATGTTAGGAATTGATAATGCAAAAGATCTCATGATATGTTTTTCTATGAAATATTTCAATGAAATATATTGTACTTGTCATGTGTGTTTTGTTTTATAAAGTAAAGAGCTGTGAAACTACACAAGACCTAACATTTTATTTTGAACTCTTTAGTGTATCTATAATATCTTTTTTAAATCATGATTATTCTGGCTGTAAAACTGTTTTAATGTTATCCACAATTATTATAAATTCATAATACCAGGTAACAAGTTTAAAATGACCCGATAATTGACCAGTCAAGAAATGGATGATGCTGAAACATTTTTAAAAGCAGGATGATAATCATTTAAAGAGAAAATCAGATGTCATATGATGATGGTATCCCGTATCTAAGTGAAAAAATCATCAGGAAAACCACTGTGCACAGCTGTTATATCCATCAATCAATATTTCTGTACAAAAAAAAATAAGAAAACATTTTGAATCCTTTTCAATTTTTTTTAATAATTTTCTTCTAAGCAGGTAGGCCCTGAATAGTAATGGAGTCAGCCAGTTATTTTAAACAATGCAATGGATCAAAAATGAACATGTGACATAAATATGTATTTCAAATTGTTATTTAATTTGATTTTGTAAGTTATTAGATTGACAGTCAATGTTAGCAATCTGAAACCATCAAACTATTGTGATGATGTTAATTAATGTCTAAAAAAATAAAGAATACATGTTCATTTATCACACTTAAGTTTGTGTAATTATCTTAAAAAAAAATATAAAAAAAAAATAAGTCTAATAACAACTTATATTCATTTCTTTACAAATAATTAAAGAGAAATTTTCAGACAGAACCCATTATAACATGTCTATCTAATACTTGTTAATGGTACACCATTATACAGCCCCATCCAAACTCTCAACTTTCAGGCTCTGACCTTGACCGTAAGAATGAAAAGGAACCACAATATTAGATATATCGTACAGGACAAAAAATCAATAGTGTATACCTAAAATAATGATACAGAAACACAAACAAAACTGGTTGCCAAGACAACAAAATATGAAGAAACCTTTGATTGGACGGCGGAATTTGAAGATAATATATCAAAACTCTGTGACATCGGTAAAAATAAATACGATATATTGAAATTCAAAACAGTTTGTCTGAATACTGAATAGAACTATACTAAATTTAGAGATTCTACATGGACTCTGTCTAAACCCATTCTACTCCATATATATCTATATATCCTATCAACAAACACATATAAATATTTGCTGTATGACATGTATAATGTAATAAGATTTACATTTTGTATCATAATTAATACATTTGTATTCATATATTCCACTTTATAAATCATTATTTTCAATCTATCTTTTTGCATAAATAATGGGACTTTTGCTTTGAAATTGCAAGAATGACAAGTTTTTTTTTTAAATCACAGACTTGAATTTTGTATTGCAAGAAAAAAAAAACAATTATAATAGAGTGAAAACTGCTTATCTCCCTTTCATTATAAGCAACACATCATTGTTATGTAAATGTAAAAAGGTTACAACAGAATGGATGGAGCATTATACACGAGACAGATTTCAAGACCACCTGGGACAAAATATCATTTACACTCATTCACCCTGTATCTACCAAAACATTTCAAAATGATAATGACATGAAAACAGTGGGACAGTGCTCTGTAAACAAAGCTAAATACACAACATTTATCACATGAGATAACAACAAAATTAACAGTAAGATGAGATTTCTCTTTGTCATGTCTAGAGAGACTTCTGTCTCATTTATTCACCATACAAACTTTGTTACTTATGAAACTTGTAATGAAAGTTTCTAACATTAAATTTATTCAACGATACTACCAGAAATGACTGCAGGTATTCGTCCTGTCTGTCTGACAATCAGTTCTTCAAATTTTCGTTGTCATTTTATTTCCAAAAATTTACATGTGAGTATCTCTTGAGGTGGCAGTGTCACACAGCTAGTTCTAGTATATAAATCTGGTTTCATGTCCCACTTACACAGAGTAATGGCCCTTTGTTCATGTTATGTCACTTTGTCCATGACAAACCGGTACGAAAAACACTAACCAAATTCTGGATGACCTTTTTGGGTGAGGGTCTGTTGGCAATGTTGATATAGATTCGAAATGCTCACACTCATGATAAAGGTATGTCCTTGTTTTTTCATTAAAAAGTCAGTCTTTGGGCCACTATTATTAAACTTGTTTCATTTCAAAGAAGGGTTTATCAATTCAAACATCTCGTCAATAAAAATCTAACTTTCTCTTTCTATATAAAACAAACCCTGTTTTTATGTTGTTAATAATGAAAATTAAAAACATCTCATTCAACATCCTACAGATTATCACTATCTAGTTACACTATCATGGTTGAAAATAACAAAATATATGGAAACATTGAAAATGACACTACAAGTAAGTACTTACCTAGGCTACTAATTAATCACAATTTTTGTAATTACTTACACTACTCGAAGAGAAATATACATTGTAATTCTGTAAATGGTACACTGATATACTGGTATCAGTGCAAATGTAAAATATATATATTGCCAATCAATCATACTGTATCACAAGAGAATGTGATTCAGTGTAGCCATGTACATTGAAACAAACTGGTTGGTAAGCATCTAGTGACTAGTACTACAGTGCAAACATATTTAGTAGGACAACACATATAAAAAAATTACTATATGTAAAACTATTTTTTTTTTTCAAGAATTGCAAATATATAATGATATAGGGTAACAAATCAAAACACAAAATGTGTGGGTCTTCATCAACAGGTGAACTTATTTTCACCCTTTTCCTCTAAATATTTTTTTGGAAAAAATTAATAAAATTAAAAAAAAAAAAAAAATGTATAGATGTAGGATATATTGCAACAGCCAAATAAGGACGGATAAGGGGAAAATGAAAAACTAAAAACAAAACAACAGACAAATATACCAGGTAACTAATTCACATACATCAATATTGTTGGCAGGATTCACACAAAAATAATATTTGGTTAATATTGATGAAAATGCATGAAATAACAAAATATTTTGTAAAAATAAAATGCCTCCATTTTCTTTTCTCCATCATGGTTAGTTCCTTTCAGCAGTAGTGTATGAGCCAGGAAATAGCTTCAATCACAGATAATTTGTTCCAAGCCTTATATGTAATGTTTGTCTTTGTTACCAGACAAAAACATGTCACATTACTCACAGACACTTATCTCACAATTTGCCATGCTTCACGAAATGCAGACAAAATTTATCCTTTCTCCTAAGTGTATTTCTCAGTGTCCTTACAAATTATGAAAATTAGCATCTTAGATAAATGACATAAGACAACCCTTTTTGACCTTCAACAACATTCAGGTAAGGGAAAATTCAAATCCAGCATTACTCAAAGTGTAATACAGTCCAGAAAAAGGTTGAATTCATCACCAGAGAAATGCATTAGAAAACATGTCAATGGGCATCTCCTGCGTTCATAAACAAGAGTACCAATAGCCAGCTACAGGTATTTTATATGACAATAGAGAATATTGAGAATATACAACATTTAAGACACTTTCGATGTTTGATTGACGAACGATGAGCAAATGGGAGGTTTTTTTAAGCAGTTACAATGCATCAAAGTTTAATTCATGAACAAGTGAGCGATTGCGAGTTTAAAAAGCAAGATAAACGATGCATCAATATGGCAACATCCACGAATATCAAAGACAATATATAGAGTGTTTACGTAGAACAAAGAACAAATACTGTAAATGGATATATCTTAGCAGTATTTTCATTTTAGTGCCTTTTGCCCTGTAGTTATCACACTAAAATCGAACCATGCCAAATTAAACATATCTACAGTAGAGGTAAGATTAACATGGCTGACCAGGTTTGGGGATTACATTTCAGAAATAACGTGTTTTGATCTCCTTGATATGCTAAGCTAAAAAGCAAAAATTAATGGAAATTACTGTAACTTCTTTTTCAGATTATCGCATAACCTGATTACAATCAGATACTAATTTACAAATCCACATCTCATATAAACATACATTGGAGCGAAAGGGCTTGGTTTTAATCATGCCTCTAAAAGGATTGGAATACATATATCCCACAACAACTGAGAATTTTTTTTTCCTTTTCCATGTAAAAGCTGCAGAGCAATTTCAAATATAGTGCATTCCTTACTGTTGCCATTAATAAGCAAGTTTTTGTTAGAAGTCATCGTCAGATGTTCTGTGTGTGGCAGTACCCAGCTGGTCATCTGGTTCACTTTCCTCAAACTCATCCTCACCATACGCCCCCTCAGTCTCGCCTTCACTCAGTAGTTGTGAATGGTCATGTGTTAATGTGTCATCTGTCTCTTCTCCACGCGAGACCAGTGATCGACTTTTGGGTGATTGCACAATATCCTGATATTGGTCCACATTCTGTCTTGGTTGTGGAGATGTCGCTTTCAACCTTGAGGCATGTGAATGTACAGAAATGTTGTCCCTTACCTGCTCCCCCGCTGATACCACGCTACTGGGTCTACTTCGTGACGCTGCTGAGAGCCAAGATCGTGACGCCTGAGAATGGACAGAGGCCTTATCAAATACTTCCTGATGTGACTCAACAGGTGGGACATCTTTTTTACTTCTACTAACTCTAGATTTTGACGACGAAGAATGAACTGACTCTTGATCAGTATCCCTAGAACCGACTTGTATCAACCTTCCTCTGGGCTGCTGGAGTGTACCTTCTGCATCTTGTTCTATCCCTTCATCAAGCTTTTCATTGCCCTCATCAGCCTCTGGGACCCCTTCCTCGATTGCCTCGTCTATTGCTTCTTTGCGAGTCATTTCAAGCTGGTAGCTTTGCAGCGCCTGGGTGTTTGACATATCTTCTCTATCAAACTCAGAATTGATAGTGCTAAATAAATCCCCAGACATACTCTGCAGGCCATAAGTATTCTGAGAATCCATGGTCGAATTGAAGGTCCTATCAAAGGGTTTAGAGATTCCGATGCTGTTGTTGCTTCTTCCAGTATATCCTGTAGATTTAAGCCTTGAGGAAATATCTGGAGACCCAGTGTATGAACTTATATCCGAGTCAGACTCATGTGGAATACCCAAGTCCCTCCTGATCTCATCTAAAACACCTCTCATTTTATGCTGTGAAGAAAAGTTCATCAAACATTTCATCAAAAACTTGATTATATTATTATAGTGTTATTCAGGAATGGATGATGCAAACAATTTCTAAACAGACATATAACAAGATTCCATTTTATAATGTCATTCATAAGACTGCAATCCATGTTTTAAAAAAGTTACTGTCTATGAATATATCTATATGGAGTCTTTCATTAAACACATCATATCAGCAAACATCATTGACGAGTATCTTATAACATGAAGCACAATACTATAATTCAACTCCATCAGTGAGACTTAATAATTAATATTTCTGCTAAATGAATTTGTAAACAATTCCCAAGAGAGATTAAATTATGAATATCAATAAAAGATATATACCTCATCTAAGTGTCCTTTCCGCTTCTCAATGTGGTTTTGGAAAACTTGCTTCAGTACCCTGAGGACAAAGGTGTACACTTCAAGCAATTTAAGATTCAAATTTCATCATAATTGTTGTGTTTACAGCAAGGTCAAAGAACTTTGTGTACTTTTTCAAGTGAAAGATGTCAAAGTGCTTGTTCTAATAGCAACAGAGGTCAAAGTTCTTGTTCTAGTGATGACAGAGTTCAAGGTCATTGTTCTAGTAATGACAGAGGTCAAGGTTCTTGTTCTACTGATGACAGAAGTCAATGTACTTGTTCTAAAGATGACAGAGGTCAAGATCTTTCCTCATAGTATGTCAGAGGTCAAGTTTCTTGTTCAGGTGATGACAGAGGTCAGGTCCTTGTGAAAGTGATGACAGAGGTCAAGGTTCTTGTTCTAGTGATGGTAGTAGTCAAGGTTCTTGTGCTATTCATTACAAAGGTCATGGTCTTTGTTATAGTGATGGCAGAGGTCAAAGTACTTGTTCTAGTGGTCACAGAGGTCAAGGTTCTTGTTTGAATGATGACAGAGATCAAGGTTCTTGTTTGAATGATGACAAGAGGTCAAGGTTCTTGTTTGAGTGATGACAAGAGGTCAAGGTTCTTGTTTAAGTGATGACAAGAGGTCAAGGTTCTTGTTTGAATGATGACAAGAGGTCAAGGTTCTTGTTTGAATGATGACAAGAGGTCAAGGTTCTTGTTTGAATGATGACAGAGATCAAGGTTCTTGTTTGAATGATGACAAGAGGTCAAGGTTCTTGTTTGAGTGATGACAAGAGGTCAAGGTTCTTGTTTAAGTGATGACAAGATGTCAAGGTTCTTGTTTGAATGATGACAAGAGGTCAAGGTTCTTGTTTGAATGATGACAAGAGGTCAAGGTTCTTGTTTGAATGATGACAAGAGGTCAAGGTTCTTGTTTGAATGATGACAAGAGGTCAAGGTTCTTGTTTGAGTGATGACAAAAGGTCAAAGTACTCATGAAATTAACACCTCATGGAAATCAATACTTTAACAATACAATGTATCAATATAGTTATATACAACAAGTGTTTTTTTTCTCAAATTCTATGTAACACTCACCTGTTTGTAAACACACCTCTGTTGAGGACGTCATCAGTCACTTCCTTCATGAATTCCACATACTGCAGTTCCTCCTCTCTGTAAAGTTGGAATTCCACACCATTATAGTTAAGACCTTGACCATCCTCTCTTACTTTAACAAATTACATGTATGTCAGCAACACGTTGGAAATTCTACTATGTCCAAATCAATGTGTGGTTTGTTTTAGGATCCAATATTTGTACAGATTTTATTGTTGCGTCTACACAGGGACCTGATCATTGTTGCAGATAAGGTGAATACCTAGGTCTGTTAACATGGTTTTTAAAAGTTGCTTTTTTTTTGTTTTGTTTTTTAGGAGGGGTCAGGGTAGGGGGTTGGTGAGTTTAGATCAATTTTCTGTAAAGATGATATTCTTATAACACAATAGAATGTTTTTATTTTTAACCAATATTGATTTAACCCCAAAACCTCTAAATATCGGGATTGGTCATTATTTACTTAGAGTGTAACAAAGTTCTTTTAGTTTTATGTCTTTACAAGCGCTAAGGTTTCACTATAACAGAAAATGTACTGGACTGTAAATGTCGGCAGATAGCCGTTACAGAAAATGTACTGGACTGTAAATGTCGGCAGATAGCCGTTACAGAAAATGTACTGGACTGTAAATGTCGGCAGATAGCCGTTACAGAAAATGTACTGGACTGTAGATGTCGTCAGACAGCTGTTACAATAATATCTGCACTGAAAAACTGTTACATCAATATAGTTGTATCATCACTGAGTATATACTTATTTTATGTATAGATTTAGTTATTTCGTGTTAAAATTTTGATTTTTATTTTATTAATATGCAGCTAGTGATACAATTTTTAATTTTATCATGATTGTTGTAACAGTATGAATGTAAAGGAAAATATAAGTTTTAAGTTTTTATTAAAAAAAAGTTCTACAGAAATTGAGACAGAATCAGTCCTGGGGGTCAGCCAGATTCTATGTGTATACCATCAAGCTGTCATCCATTCAATCTCAATTCCAACAAAGTTTGAAATATTTCTAATGGAAATTAAACTAATTATGTTCAAAAAGGCACTTTTCCCATATACAGGACATGTCAAGTAAACTTTTCACCTCCCCATGGAGAAATATGACACCCTAATAAAAATTCATAATTTCGGTAAAGCACCCTAAGACACTTCCATCCATGAAGAGCATTCAATTCTACCATATCCAAATGTTGAGAAGATGATCAGGCCCCTGGGGTTGGGACTGTATAATTCACAGTTTTGCTTCATCACAGACCATGGAAGGTTTTTGAAAAATTCATTTAAATTGGTTTAAGGGCTTTTGAGAAGAAGTAAAAACTGTTTAAAAGTTTGCGGACGCATGTTGCACAATGTCTGAGAAAAGGCGATCACAATAGGTGACAATGAGTCTTTGTCTCAGGTGACCAAAAAATACAACATACATTTCATTTGATTATTTCATTCAAGTCTTATGAAAGCTACACATGGATGGTATGTTCTTTCATGTCTCAGTTACCATCCATTTTGTGTAGCAAATGTTTCCTAAATAATGTTTCTAAAACTCAGTAATCTCTATTCTGTTAATAGCCACATCTTCTAAACATTCAGGCTTCAAAGTAATTGTTTTTTTTTTTTTTTGACAACTGTCAACAGCAGATATTATATTAGCCTTATGACATATATTACAGATTGGTTGCTGCAAACATCTGCTGAATGATCGTCTAAATTAACTTTCTGCTATATCATGCTAAAACAAGCATTGTCATTAGTCAACCGAGGATGCTATAAGTGATGTTAGTAATCAATATCAACAGTTAGTATATCATGTGCTAAAACAATTACTATCATCTGATGAGGCCATTTTCTATTCACAGCCTTGATTTTCGTGGTTATCAACCTCAATAAAATGTCAACGTCCTACATGTACAGAGTCACTAAATATTATACGTAAAGTGACTAGACATTTATCATACGTATCATAAGCACAAGCATCTACATCTATATCCATGTTTCAATTTCTTGAAAAATATTTGGTAAATACTTCATGTATCAGATATATCAAGTATATTCACTATTGTTTGGATCAATTACGAGAATCAATTTCTTTCAAGCATTTAAATTTTTTTTTTCATATTTTAACTAAAATGTCATCGTAATCATGGACTACAGGATGTGTTCAGCATTCAAATCATTTATCTAAAAATGCTTGTAAGGTACATACATTAAGTTTTTCCCCCTTATTTTCATTCAGTGTATTCAAGTACCACAATAATATTAGATATCCAGCTGTCTCACAAATAATCTGTGCTGTTGTCAATTTTATGCAAAAATGTTATCATTCTAACTTAAAAGTCTACAAAGTGACAAATGTTTTAGTTGCAATTTTTTGAAGCAGAAATCACACACAAAAGTTGAAATGAAATGTTATGGAGAAGAATTGTGAAGGTGCACATATAGAAAGCAGAGAGTGTCAAACAACAATTAAAGTCTCTTCCAAACTTCCATGAGTAAGCAGCCCTGGTAAATAATCACTTTTAAGCCAGTGATCTCTCATCAACTACTCCAAACATTGCTGGAAGCTACAATTATTTCTAAACCAGTTTTATTCTGAAGCTTTTCAAGCAAATAATAAATCAACAATGCAAGCAAACACTAAAATTCAAACATCAGCAAATTGAAAAATAAAACTAATTAAAAAAAAAAAAACAAACAGAAGAATTTCTATCATTAATTTTTAATGAGTCAATAAATTACAAACAGTTTGACCAAACATCACACTACAGTCAAAAACCTTGACATCCTTGTTTCAATGGACATGGTGATAGGCTGTTTGGCAAGGATGTCAAAAACAATGAGAGCATAATTGAGCGTACCAATCATATATAACATGCAATAAGCCCGGGATGGCAAGGAAACAGATCTTACAGAACATACTTTGCCATAAAACAGCATTTGTTTGCATTTAACCAACTTTAATTCTAATAATGGTGATCTTATTGAAAGTCAAGGGCTCATTTCTGGCTAAATATTCAATAATTTCATTAAATATGAAATATTCCTTATATGGAGTTGAAGCTGTCATACAATTTTTTTAGGTCTTTCGATACTGGCACTTTTATCCATCTACGAAATTGTTATTAACAACATGATATTTCTAGTGAAAAAGCCCTGATATCAGTAATACTAAATATTAATGTTAAAACTATTCATACATTTTATCCACAAATAAAAAAAATATACAAAATTTGAGCACATTACTGATCTGACTTTGATACTATGACACCTCTATAAAGTGACATTATAATTAAACAACACACTGTTATATACATGATGGCCTTCAATAACAGGCTTCTTCTAAATACTGTTTAGTACATGATACAGACTTGAAGACATTGTCACTGTATAAAACTTATGTGTTACAACTTTTTCTTGATGTGATCGATATAACAAGCCTGTGGGTTTTTTTAAATGCAAAAGGGTAAAAAAAATAGCTTCAAGTATTCTTGACAAGTAAAATTAAAATATTTCAGTCATACACATATTTACAATCATTTATAGATTCATTTGATATAAAAAAATATCTGTTTTATCTTAAAGCTCACTATGTCTTACAATCACAATAATTGAAAAAGATATGTATTTAATTACACAAGTATATCTGTTGAATCATAACCATATATGTTTTCATAATATCAGATATTCCACAATAAAGTATGCCTGTGCTGACTGGGCATAGTCAGTGATGTGTAATCCTTTATTTTGGAAAATGTATTATTCTCTGTCAAAGAGAAATACTTCTGTGTCAAATACAACAAGGATATGGTAATTTACTCTAAAAACTTGTATAACACAATATCATAGAGTACAACCTGTATCTGTTATCTTTCTTTTTTAATATAAAATATTGTACAATCGTTCCAACCACACACAGGCCATGTCTATAACAATAACACAATATTACAAACAACATGGAATCATTAACTAGGTATAATCTGACCACAATGACCCCTCATGTTGAACTTTAACCATTTGTTCTTGTGTATAACCGCCCTTTATTTCTTGAATAACTATGAGTATAAAAATTAGTACAATTTTAGAAATTTTTTGAAAGCCAAGAAATGAACAGAGTACATATACCCTATGTCAGCCAATACAGTTTATTTCACTTACTATATATAGATGCTCACCCACCTATTAATAAAGATATTAAAGGTGAACATGACAGATTATTCTGGTCAGACTATTATCTCTATTCACATTACTATGTAATATTATGATAGAATATAATTCAAATTAAAATATTTCTCATTCTCATTGAAACTACATTTTACTTCAAAAGAACCTCAAAATTTTGTATCAACCTAATGTTTTTAATGATTTTGTTTTTTGTCTGAAATCTATAAATTGATTTGAATTACCTATTTAAACATCATAACATTTTGTAACATTGAGAAAGTAGTCTTTTATAAACAATAGATAAAAATCTCAGTTTGTGTCCACTTACATTAGAACTCTCGGTTACAATTTTCTTAAAACCATGAGATGATCAATATTTGCATAACATATTTATAAGACCAAAGGGATAGAGCCAATGGTATAATTTAAAGTATGCTTCCTGGTTTCTTTCACTCTTCGGCTGGATTCCTGAAGGTATGCAGGGCTGTTGTGTCATAGGTTGGCTCAATACAACATTAACAAAAACAGAACAGCTTCCAAGTATGTTTCTTCAATTTATTAATGTCATCGTCAGAACCATATGAAGCCCAATAAGGGTTAAACATGTTGACGAAGATCATAATTAATTGTTGTGGTTGTTTGTTTTAATGTTTATATCATTATAAATGTCTAGATAGACCTGTATACTCATGCTATTAACGAGGACGATGCAAAAACAATACAACTATCATGTTCAGTATACCATGTACCAGTGATAAGTGCAGAATTCTTAGAATAGATGAAACCTGTCAGTAATAACTACTTGGATGGCTCATTAAAGTCACCACAATCTTAAAGTACTGAAGTTTGATCATCATGTGTTGTTCTTGTTATGTAAGAATGGTCTCCAAAGAAAATGTCAAGAATTTTCCTCTTTTTTTTTTTAAATTTGTTGCACTTGATATTTTTTCAGAATATAAATTTTGTGCTCATCACCGGCGATGTTTTCGTTTCTGGTAAAACTAACAGTTAGATATGATATATACTTTCTGAACACAGAACAAGACAGGCAAAATAAATGCAAATTATTCTGACTACATGCAGCTGTAGATTAACTCTAACCAACCCATACTTACATAGAAACAAGTCTATAATTACATCTGGGATTACATGGGATCAAAGTCCTATAATGAATAGATATTGATTTAATATCAAACAATTACTTTAGTGTAGGTTGAAAAGAATAAGATAGAATTTCATGCAAAGACTGAGAAATATGTCTAGAAAATGCATTACTGAGGATGAAATAGGCAGGAAGTGTGTTTAAAGTATATAAATGTATATCATACTATAGTGTATTCAAAACGACCTTTAAATATCTTACATAAGATTATTCAAGATGTTTTACAGATTCATTAAAAGTACCGCAAAGCAGAACAAAATACGCCCATGTATATCCAAAGGGGCAAATCGTCTAATCAAAACCCTGTTCAGGAAAACACAATTTCATATCATGGTGATTAAGCCTACCAAGTTTCATAAAGGTCAACTGAAAAATGTTGGAGGAGATCTCCGGACAAAATTTCTACAGTGAAATAAACAAAGGACCATAACTCTTGTTCAAATCACCAAATCAACACCCCATTCAGGAAAACACAACTTCATATCATGGTGATTAAGCCTACCAAGTTTCATAAAGATCAGCTGAGAAATGTAGGAGGAGATCTCCGGACAAATAAAAGTTTACAACGGATGCTGGACGGACGGACAGCGCCATACCATAATACGTACGTCTTTCGATGGGCGTATAAAAATGTGTAATAAATAGTATTCAAGTATTTCATTAATTCATCAACTACCAGTTTAATTTTTTAATAAATTAAGTTTGTCACCATTACAGACAGAAGTTAAAAACAACCAAGATAGCTTACATTGTAAATTCATAATTATGGTCAATACTAGCTCTAATATATCTTCTTGAATGAACTGTATTGATCTGCAAAATTTTCACTTGTTTTAAATACATGTTTTTAAGTACATGGCCACATTAAAGACAAGAAGGCCATGGTCCTTAACAGATGGACAGCCAGGCTGCTGATGGGGCCTAACAAATTCGATTATTTCAAATTTTGAATATTTCTAGAAAGTATCAGAAACTCATAAATGGTAGGTTTTGTTCATGAAAAACAGTTGCGCAATCATGTTACAAAATGGTTACTGTAAAACCATGATGAAGTTTTGATCAGACTGAAAAATAACAACATAACATCTGTTTCTCCGTATTCTAACAAATAACATTCCAAATATTTGTCCTTTTAGAGGCCCAAATTTCTGGTCAGATGACCTAAAATTGCCTAGGTACATTCTTTAAATCTGTGTGTATAGTTTTCTTTTCTTTTCTTTTTTTTTTTTTTTTTTTATTTTTGCAAATAAATCATTTAGAAAAGTTAGCACTGTATATATTCACTCACACTTTCAAACAATCATTAACAGCACTAAAAACAACTGGATCACCATACTAAATATACCAAGTACATCTTAACAACATAACAGTATACACCACAAAGAGGTGTCACCAAGCTTTCTTGGCCCTGTCATCTCCCTCCCCTTTCCCTATGGATTCCCTGTACCTTTCCCCCCTACAACTTTCCTATCCCTTTAAGCTTCTTTCCTTAATCTCAAGACAGCCTCTGGGTCCCCTTGAGCTCCTACCTTTCCCTAGCTCACCTGTCCCTTCCAGCTTATCCTCTTCTGTATAATTCTCATCCCCTGTCACTCATTCCAGTATCCATTAAGCTTGCTCCCCCCAGCTATTATCTTCCACCTGGTTGCCTCCCCTTTCCTTTTTCTTGGACTTTTCCCTAGCTATTTTTTTCTTCTCCTATGGTGCTTTTTTTTTGTCTTCATGTCTCTCACCTTCTAAAGCTAATCCCTCTATGCCTTTCCCTAGCTGTCATTCTCTTTTCCCTACTTTTTGTTTAACTCACCTGCTCCTTCTCCCAAAAAAGAAAACCTTTTTTATTTTGAAATTTCGAAATGAAATTATGTAAATAAATGGTTTTTTTGGTTAGATATCATTAAGACGATTAGAAGGGATTCAAATTGCATACTTTCTCACTCCGATATGTTTTCCTGTTTTTTTTTTTCTAATATACAATTAGATACACCTTTGGTTTCTCTCACTAACATATTAAGTACAAAACATATTTCATATCATAATTTTCATTGCTCTTCTACATTTCATAACAACATGTGTATGTATATACCTATATAACACTAGTGGACAGTCGTAAAGCTTCAGTACTGGCTGAACTCAAAATGATACAAATATCCAGTCGCTGGTTACTCATGGAATGTGCAATAGACAAGACAAGCTTTAGGTCATTGTTTAGATGGAAACAATTATACATAGAATGTGCAAAAGAAATTAAAATATTACAGAATTATGTAATTAACATTACTCTCATGATAGATGTGAAATTATATGAGAAAGGTGAAAGATCGCTTGAAAGGTTGAAGACAGATCACAAAACATTGACGGTCACAGGCTGATTTTTGTAAGTCACAGGTATAAGCTGAAATCAGGTACAGGTAAGAGACATCACAGAAATAATTAATAATTAAGTAACTTTGTCAGGTAAGTCTTTAGGTTAACTGTGGTTTAATCAAATGTCAATGTCAAACCACAGGTAAAACTGGAGAGAGTGTTGACTACAAGTAAACAGAGTGAACAGAAACACAATCATGGCTCATTGTACATGTGAGTACTCACTGCTCATTGAGGCGTCCAGATCGGCCCATAGTTCTGGTTCCAAACGACCTGTTGAGTCAGAAAACATTACAATGTTCTTATAGCTCATAACTTATAACTTAACAAGTACATCACAACATTTCCTAGCACATTTCATTTTTGAAAATTTACCTGGTTATAGTGTAATTCATTTCATTCCGAAGTATTTCACAGTTCAATCTTAAAAATTTATCTGGTTATAGTGTAATTCATTTCATTCCGAAGTATTTCACAGTTCAATCTTAAAAATTTATCTGGTTATAGCATGTCATTTTATTTCAAAGTGTTTTAACTTGTTGTTCTAAAGGAAAACAAAAATATTATTTGATTCCAGTTACCTACCAGCCTACCAACTCATATGGAAATTAGAACATTCTGATGTAGCAATGTTAAAATTATGACCATCCTCGAGCTCTTACATGTAGTTTTAAAATATTATACATTCCTGACCCCAATCTTATAGACCTGAAAAATAACAGCTTAGATGGTCTCTTCAACAAATTTCTTTTCTATGATACACAGATTGTCTACAGTTCATACAGAAAACCTACCAGGTAACTAACCAATCTAAAATGATGGAGAAATCAAGGGACATGTTATTTACCATTTTATACATATAGCCTACCATCAAAAAAGATCAAACAATATCATGTTTACTATTTTTATAAATTAGTACATTTGTAGGAACAAAAACAAATAGGGTGAAATCAGACACTATTTGAAAATGGTGGAATTAAGTGTATCCATATGTATTAATGACACATAAACATGAAATTTGTTTAAACATACAGATGTAAGATTTAAATTTCATTTATGACTTGTACATGTACATGAATATGTGCAATCCTTTTGCAATTTTCTGGGACATCTCTACAGAGAACTTTCTCTGTTTCTAGTTATGAAAACAGGGCAATTTCAGAAGATCATTACATCTTATCAGGTATACAAGTCTTTTATTCAATAGCTAAAATATTCACCAAAATGACAAACTAATCTGAAGTTTAGAATCTTCTACTGGTTGTGTTATTTTATTGGTAATACCAACCTGAAGAAAATGTTCCACAAAATAAAAAATAATGATTCCATTTACTTTTTCATTTTGAAAACTGTGTATTTGCAGTCAATACTTTTCATGATTATTTAATATAAAGTTTCGGACACAGGGTGAAGAAAAAGCAAGTAAAATAACTGTTGCAAAGCTTGAAGAATCTCTATAATCAAACTCCATCCATTTCATTTGTTTGAATAATTTTGCTTTATTCATTTCATGCTTAGATTTATTTGATAAACTTTCCCTACTAAGGGAATGTATTCCTTACATTGAATAAATGTCAAGATTAATTTGATAATAACTGCCCAAATCTTATGCCAATCACATAGTTTTATTAAGGAACTGTTTCTTCTGGAACCAGAAATTATTCTAGGTGAAAATATCTTTTAAATTTTGACTGAAGCAAAAATGGCATCTATGCCAAATACTTTTGATGTTAATGAAACTTGAAGCATCATTTCCTAGGCTTAGATTTACCTTGTCGTTCGGCCCAGAGTACCTGTAGTGAGTTCGCCTGTCTCACCCATATCAGTTGTGTCCTGCAGATCTTTCTCCTTTATTCGTTCCATGCTGGTCTTGAGCTTTGAGCTTTTAGCACGGATCTCTGCTTTGGAGGCCTGTTCTTTAATCCAATTGAGATGGTCTTTGTCCATAGAGATGTCCAGTGTTGGAACCATCTTATCTTTGTCAAACTTTGAGAAATCCCTACTTTGTAAAGTTTCATACATCAGGCTGGTTTCTGTTAAAGGTGTTTCTGTCCTATTCATTGGTGATTTTGCCCTCCGTGGTTTAGGCTTTGGTTTCTCCACACTTTCCTCTAAATGTTTGTCACTGTGTTTCTCTTCTGTTGGATCTTTTCTCTTCTGTGGGGGAGCTGTGTAAAATTTTGTTTGGCTGAGTTTTGATGTCCTTGTTGACTTCAAAGTTCTTGGTGTGAACGGTTTCTCTGGTTCAGTAAAAACGTGTTTCCTTGTGGCAAGAATATCTCCATCCTCAACCTTTCTGTTATGTGTTGCACCATGAGGCAGAGCAGATCTTGACACACCACTAGTGGCTGATCTTACAGATCTAGCAGATGAGGGTCTTTTGGGGTAACCTGATCTGTTGACTTGCTGATGTGAATAAGTCTGATATTGATAGCCTTGAGGATCAGGACGTTGATAGCTGTGGCCTTGGCTGCGGTAGTTGTGACCTTGAACCTGACCTTCACTTTGTCCATTATAAGCATCATATGATTGTGAACCACCATATGTAGCCTCAGTACTTTCTACCTTGTCTTGTCTGTTGGATTTAAGAGTTGTTTTCATAATGTCCAACACCAAGCGATCATCGTCGTCTTCAGGATCAAAGTCATTCTAAAAAATTTTTGTAAAAGATCAGGAGATCATTAGGATGCACTTAAAGACATTTCAAGTTATTGTCAGTTAAAAATCACATAATCATACATGTAGCATAAAGCGAGAAAGGAACTCTGGAATAAAAATCAAACAAAAATACCTGCGTATATGTATACCTGGATTTTGATCATTGTGTGATGTATACAGTGGACAGTCCTTTTAACAGTACAAACCCTAACAAATTTGAGTCCCTGATTAAATATCTTGTATCGATATACTTTATTAATTTTACAACAATTTTGAAACAAGTTATCAGTTTTGTTGACCCAGATGGAAGTTCAAAAGGGTTTTACCCTGAGAAGAAACCTGTGTTTCTGTGGAAAACACATGTGGTCAGGTAGGTGACCCCATACCTTTCCTATCCATTTCATGAATTGAACCCAAGATGTCTATGTAAGCCACTACTCGACCACTCATTAAATTGGTTGCTACCACAGTATTTCCTTATCTGAAGATTTTTTTCTATACAAGAAAACGTCTAACCGTGCGAAACCTACCACATAAAGGCTATAAACCACAGAGGAGATACTCCATACAATGATTTAAATGACCGTATCTTACCAGAGCAGCATGATCATCCATTCCATCCATGTCATCATAGTAAATATTTCTGGAAGTAGGACGGATATTCATACTGGAACTGGGACGTACACCAGTCTTCTTCACATACTCACGGGTCTTCCTGTCACGAGCTGTAGTATAAATCTTGTATTACATGTCTATATATGTTCTCATATATCCATATAAAAATCGACAGTTTTGAGTATTTTCATAACATTGTGATATTCAAGTCAATTTTTCTTTCACTTAAACCATTCTAACTATAAAATGATAGTGGAGATATTCTTAAGTATCACATCTAGATTACGCTGTCTCATCATCACTGAACCTAGACATAATGAATATGAGTAAAGTTGTTTTAGTGAGCCCCACAATGTGTAGAGAATATGGATGTGTACATGTAATATCCTATGGTATGTGTTCTCTCTTATTTAAATATAATCATTATTTATTCCACATCTATTTTCATTATGTATTCCATGTCTATTTTCATTATGTATTCCACGTCTATTTTCATTATGTATTCCACATCTATTTTCATTATGTATTCCACGTCTATTTTCATATTCCATATCTATTTTCATTATGTATTCCATATCTATTTTCATTATGTATTCCACATCTATTTTCATTATGTATTCCACGTCTCTTTTCATTATGTATTCTACGTCTATTTTCATTATGTATTCCACGTCTATTTTCATTATGTATTCCACGTCTATTTTCATTATGTATTCCACGTCTATTTTCATATTCCATATCTATTTTCATTATGTATTCCATACCTATTTTCATTATGTATTCCACGTCTATTTTCATTATGTATTCCATATCTATTTTCATATTCCATATCTATTTTCATTATGTATTCCATATCTATTTTCATTATGTATTCCATACCTATTTTCATTCTGTATTCCACGTCTATTTTCATTATGTATTCCACGACTATTTTCATTACCGTATGTATTCCACTATTTTAAACCATTGTTTTTCTAACCTACCGTGACATACTGCTACAATATATAAGGCAGTTTGTACAAAAGGACTTGTTTTGCTCTACTCATCCTTTTCTTGCTTACCTTTCTGGCTAGTTGACAAGACCTTTGGTGGGCGGTTATCAATGGCAGCTAGACAACAGAAAACAACACCATCACTAATCAATAAGTTAAGACAAGGCCAGTGATTGGCAATCAGTAATATTGGCTTTTCATTGTACTTAATTGATTACATAATCAGCTGACTGTGTGATTAATATTCAATGAAAGTGAATGTATTCTCCATGCCATGGTTACATACACCAGTGAATATGTATACACTATGTTAATAAAAGATTCCAATCCATTCCAACACTTATTTCCTATTTTAAATTTTACTTCTTCTAAATGAAATTCATTCTTATCACTTAACTCTGAGAAGTAGTGGACTGAAACATTTGGATGCTTGGTATAAACTGAATTGTACATGTTATTGTAAGGGACTGATTTCTTTCCTACAATACATGTACAGTGAAAGATTCTGCAATTACACCCATAAGATAGAAATTAAGACCCAATGAAATATTGATGTAGATTTCTGACTTACATTTGGCATTGACAATTTTGCTGTAATGATTGTTCATATGGTCCAGAACAAGGTATTGAGTCGTCAACTTGGCAGAGGTTGGGGCCAAGGCTAGAAAACAAAACAATTGCATTAAATCACATTCAATTCAAACTAATGCATTGATATTTCCCCTTGACAAGAATTAAAATCAAAACCTATAAGGAAGGTACCAGTACACTTATCAATATTGAAAATGTACAACCTCACTATTATCATATATATTTTTTCTTAGCAACCATTCTGTAAAAGAAGTCTGACAGGGATGAAAATAAAGTTTTGGTAGCTATAGATAAAATCAATGTTTTCCAATCAAGAATAGAGTAAATTATGTTATTTAGAAAAGACAGATTCCCAGGTTATGTTTATATACAGAAAAATGATTTTATTAAAATGAAATACATCTATATGTTGTTTATTAATAAGTAAAGATACAGAATCAGTTAGAAAACACATCATATTAGAATTTACTAGCTTTGATCTTAATTCAAAACAATATCTCACTAGACATTGTACTTTCAATATTATTGTTGTTGACAGTGAAATTTTGAAATAAAAACACCAGCCCTTCTTTTAAATTCAAAACATAAGATTTACAAATTTCAAATTTGTATATTACCACTGCTCCGCAATCCAAGTTGGCCTTTCATAGATGACATGTTGGATTTCGCCTGCATCCCTTCAGATAAACAACATCAATCTGTTACCTTGCATTAAGTCCAAACAAATGATGTGTTTTGGATTACCATTTTTGTCAAATTTCCAAAATTGATTTAACGGAATATTTAAAAACATTATTTATTCAGCCTTATAGCAAGAGTTTGTGAGACATGGTTAACATCACATGTTATTTATGTTTCTCAAAATCAGATAAATACATTAAATGTTTAAATATAAGGCTGAGGACGAAAAAAAGTTGGAAAAGAGTGATAGGAAAAGTAGAAACTGATGCTGGGAGAAATTTTCATGAAACTCACAGTTTTAATATATGTATATATGGTGTCATCTGGAATTTTTATCACTATAATGTAATGACATTTACCAACAATTCAACAAACTGATAGGAATAAAAAATATTAATGAAGGTTCTTATCAACAAATTCAAACACAAAACTTGTAAATTCTGCTGCTACTTCTGTAAATGATATTCTACCAATTCAATATAACAGATATAATGATGTATATAGATGATCTATATCAATAATGTTCTCATGATCACTCTTCTTCATTTTTATACAATGGGTAGGATGTTATAATCTCTCTAACTGAAATAAAATGAGCTCAGATCAACCACTGTCATTGACTTTATATTGGTCTATTATTCTTATATAATTACCTGATATATTTTATCATGATCATGAATACTCTTGAAGTTTGCAAAACTTCACAACAATGACATTGTGTGATTTAATTATTAACAACAACCATTCGGAATTGAGCACAATATACAACTTTAGCATCAAATAGCCAAAGAATGTTTTGTTTTGAGGTTCTTCAAAATGGGACTTATCATTAACACTACAATTTCTAATAGGCTAGGCTTATTCTATTATTAATTATCGTACAATAACCCATACTTCAAATATACTGTCCGTGTTAAATGCAAATGTATATGCAAAATTGTGTGCTTTTCATTGCGCGACTGCGTAATAAACACGATTACAAAAAATTCTACATACTGGCAATGTGATGTAGATTGTAGACTTGTACGAATCAGAAGGAGGAATTATAGAACCAAGTCTGGATTTCAAGATGTTTTCGACAAATATATGTTAAATCATATTTCCTATTTATAGCAGCTGGGTGCAATGAAAGTTAATTGAATCATACTAAAACACGGCTTTACAGAGACGAGATCAATACAGAAGACGAATACATGGCTAGCAACAGACTAAGACATGAATAATGAATGTGTTGTGTTTAGAAATCGACCGATTTCGGCTATGATAAACTGAACTGCTGAGGTAACCGAACATGTTTCTACATGTAACGAATGTTGAAGAACTCGCACAGACTGAACTTGCGATATAAAATGGCGCGTTTAATAAGTAAATAAGTAGATGTTGCTTATATTGATATAATCTAGGGTATAAAACAAATTTATAGCAACCTGCGTTCCCGGTTCGTCCACCCATTCTTCGTGATTATCAGATCTTCAGAAAACGTCGTCCATTTTGGTAACTAGTCACTCGATGTAAAGCGCCACAAGGGAGATAACAAAGAAGAGTAAAGATAGTGTAGTAGTGTTTAGTGTGCGTCCGGCGTAACAATCTGAAGAGCTAGAACCATATTTTAATTAAATGATAATCAGTATGTATAACTTTCTGAGGTTTCTATTTTTTAAATTGATATTAAATAAGTAAGTATATCTCAACAACTTTAATTTGATTTTATTTGTACTTTAATGTGTGCTCCTAAATTAATGTTATTAACTTCCTGAATCTTATGTGATTTTGTATTGAATGATTTTACTCAAATTCTATGTAAAAATTTGAAAGTAAACATTCCGTTTTCTAGAGTAAGAAAGTAAAAAGTCGGTTCTCCTCTTTCCTCAACCATTTTGCCCCAATGAGACTACCTCTATTTTTCCCTTCAAACGAATGAACTTTAAATCTATTCTGAACCCCTCTAATTGCCCCTGGTTTGGCCTTTTCTGCCTCTATAGATTTCTTAAGATTATCTTCTTGTAGATTACCTTGTTTTTCATTTAAAAAAAACATACAAGATAAAGATTTACCCCTTATTTTCATTAGTGGTGCATCCAAAATTAGTCGACCATTTGTTAAACGATGAACTTTTAACCAGCAGAAATTTCAGTTTACCTTGGAATGAATCGCGGATCAGGATCAAAATCATCACTGAAACAGTTCGAGAGTCAATAATAAAACGACTTTACATTGCATTTCGGTTCCGTTTAAAAATAAGGAAAAAAACTAGTTGATCGAAAGCGCTCCAGTCGAACAGTAGTGGCCAAGTTAACAAACACTGTATCATCAGTCCCGAGAACGCGAGGGAAGCCAAGGGACTGAGTTAGTACTCGTGATCTTCATGGCAGAAGGGTAGCTGCGAACTATCCTGACTATTTACCGGACAACAATGGTGGGAAATGATACAAAATGGGTTAAAGGTGGAAGTTAAAAAGAGTATATTCTTGTGCAATCCTTAGCACCATGGCTATAGATGTCAAATTGACAGACAAATGTCTACTTAGCAATTAATACAAGGTCAACATTGCCGATGAAATATTCTTTATGAAAAAAAGGATTCTTTTATGATATTGTATGGAAAATTGTCCTTCACGATCGGGAGTTCCTATAAACACGTTTTTTCTCTCCTTTCAAGGATAGACTGTCGTGGGATTGGGATTCTGTGACTAGTAATTGTGATCATTGCAGCAATACTCATCATTGCAGCTGTCATTTCCTTTTCCTCATCTCCACAAAAGCGAGACAAAAAGTTATTGCTTTCCATAAACTAAGTAAATTACGGTTCATATTCTATCTACCTTCTCTATGACGTCACAATAGGCAGTCATCACGCGAGATTTCCTGGTCGTCATTGTCACTTTGTTGCTAGCGACAGAAGACGTCGTCTTTAGGAGAGTGAGAAGGAAATTAGCTAATTCATTTTTCCCTATTGAAAAAAATTTTTATAAGGTGAGTAAAACTATTCATTATCCTTCAATATGTGTATCAAACATTAATGTTTATTAATGTCATTTGGACAAGAAAGATATCCTACAACATTTGGACGCAAACTATTTTTTTCCCAATTTCATGTTATTTTAAAGATTTATAATAAATCTAAATACATTTTTTCTTATTTCTTTTTTTCTTTCAATTACTGTTCTCACGTGCAGGTTTTCGATGTGATTATGACGACAGGTCACCGATTAAATGTTTGCTTTTAGTTTTTTAAGCCTTTTTACTTGGAGAGAAACAGACTGCGTTAGGAAGCTGCAAGTTCGATTCCCATCGAAGCAAGCTGCTCTTTTTTTAACAAAAAATTGCATAAACCAAAGTATTTACACATTTCAAAGAAGGGTTGGGTTGATAACCATTGTTCGTCCCACTGAACTTTAAGGTAGACAAAGCGTATATCAGCCGTCTGTCAATTCTTCTTGAAACTGCTGCCGTTGTTTATTAAGTAATATTTGTCATCCCTCGACATCCCAAGGTTAATTACTTAATTTACTCAGAAAAACTTAGCAACAGGAACTGTTATTTCAGAATACAGAATGGACGATGAACAACTGCGCAGTATAGTGCGGAATTTGACGAATACTGCAATAGACAATGCAATGGACAAAATCTTTACAGAGGTAATGGCCGAAGATCTTGACCAAGGGGTGGATGATATTGTGAAACTGACCATTGGAAAGTCAATTACCGCTATACGCGATGGTAGAACTTCCTCAACAGATGATAAGATGAAGGAATGGTCAGGACATTTTGATAAAGAAGTAAGCGATATTGTAGAGTTGACCATTGGACAATCGGTGACCGCCATCCGCAAAGGTCAAACATCGCCGACTGGTAATAAGATGGAAGGACTGTTCAAAACAACATCGGAAGTAACAACTGTCACATCAGGAAGTAATCCACTGAAGGTTTGTGACGCGGGAATCAAGCAAGACGTGACAGGAAGTGGAAGTGACAGCCAGCTACAAACTGCAACTCGAAACATCGTCCAAGGTACTCTAGAAAACCCTATTATTTCGTATACGGCATTATTTACTGACATAAATACAATACATCAGACTATCTTATATTGAATAAATGTATCCGAATAACTTTACCAGATATCTAATTAGTGTTCTTTTTGTAAAACAGCTAACGAACCCGTGACTACACATCAGTTGAGCGAGACTTCCGGCAAAAAGAATATATTGGGACGACTGTTAGACAGACTACTGAAGGTAAGCTTACCGGCACCATTGTAAACCACGTGCTAGTAATAGCTGCATATGATAATTTAAGTGAAAACGGGGTTCTTCAACAGGTAACAAGCGTAAGAACGGAAAACGGATGTATTATGATAACAAATTAAAACTAATTTCAACAAAGTGAAAATTTTCTTCATTATATCTGTAAAACAACGGAGCACTATAAAAAGACTTTATTTCTGTGATGTCTTTGCCTGAATAATGAATTAGAGTGTTTACACATAATTTGTTTCTAAATTTGTTTCAGAGAGATAAAAAAAAGAAGTAAAGAAAACCGCCACTACTACAGAGGGTGAGAATATATCTATTTTCAATGTCTTTCAGTTTTGAACTCTGTGTCGATGATATGTTTAAAAATAACCAGAAACCGGACGAAATCTTTACGAAAAGTTTTTCCGTCAATTCAAGTCAAGTATTAGTAATTACTGTGCGGTAAAATCAGAAATACCGCAAAAAGATAGAAGAATTCAGACTCGACGTATTTTATCAATAATCTATTTGAAATATCATGTTTTGATATTAAGTTTTTCGTTTTGATAATCCTCTTGAATTCTGATATCGTTCATTCTGTGGCCAATAGGTGGCAGCAGTGGCGCCTCAGTCGGCAAGCAGACGTCACGTCCATCCAAGGTCGCAAAGAAGAAAGGCTGGATCCGTAAAAACCTGTTGTGCTGCTTCGTCAGACAGACTTCCACAGTGGAACCAAGTTGTAAATAAAGACCCAAAAAATTAAAACTCGATTGAACGGTCCTAACAGGCAGAGTAGTATTCGCGGATATCAAGACATATATTGTGAAGCCAACAGCTTGTGATTTCTTTGTGTTCTTTTGTTTTTGTTTTATTAAAAATAGGCGAGATATATTTCATGAGTGACATTGTTTTACTTTTCGCATCAAATGATTCTTAGGAAGAAACAGGATATCATTTGTGACATTCTAATTTAACAGAATGTACAGGTAATAAATGTGAAAAATAGAGCTAAGTACATACATTTAGATATAAACGACATCTCAACATGAAAACGTCATATGTTAACAGCGCAATACCAGTTAATCCTGTTTGACGGGCAAGCATCTTTCTGGCACATGTCATAGTTGTTCGAATCCTGAAGACAGTATGCGAAGTTCTCCCGCATGTAAAGAAAAGTAGCCACCAGAATCACTGGACCCTGCTATCAACGGGTCAATAAACGCATAAAGTTAAACAGTTCCGATTCTATAAATCTACGATGTTGTTAGTACCGATTCCATAAGTCTACAAGGTTTAAAACTGACGATACTTTACACGTGTTGCTGTAGTCATTGATGCTGTATAACTGAACAAAACTCATGATCTTGACGAGGAGAATAGTTTAAATTCTTGAAGGTTGAATACTCATACAAAAAGAGTCCCTGTCGACATGTGGTGGAGTTCGTTTCTCTATCTATCAGTCGAAAAAGTCATCCCCACTAAACAGATCCAGATACGTGTAATTGGAGGGGTTCTGAGGTGACAAAAGCACCCTCGGTGTTCTCCTGCCATTATCCCCCTGTGTGGTATGCACCGTTGGTATCGAAGCTGGGGTTTTTGGCGTTGCTGCTTCGTTAAGTTTTGGTGTAGATGGAACAATTTGCTCTCCGCCTGGAGGAATATCAAAGACAATACCGCTATTATTGTTAATTAAATTAAGCATGTTTTATTGTAAATTATTTACAAAAGGATCGGGCACAAGTTATTTCAACTTATAGTTGCCCTTTCCTTAATACATTACAAAACAAAAACATCACATTGTAAAGTAATCAATAATTTACATAAATATTGACTAATATATTTTTAAAGAGAAGGGAGAGAGAGAGGTGGGATGGGGGTGGGGGAATGGTAGAATGGATGACGTCATTGGAAGTAAAATTATAACAGAGTTTCATAGTTAAAACCTGTTGCTACTTTTTATAAAATGTTGGACTCGTAAAAAAAATCAGAGTTTGTTTAAGGGGACAGTTGATCATTTCCATTAAGGAGCAGATCTAAGTCACAGTGAACTTGTAAATTCATATCATTTAAACGTTGGAAAAGGACATTTCTGTGAACATTATAACGCTGGCATTCAAAGAAAAGGGATAGACATTTTCACACATATTTCCACATACACAGCTATGGGTATCCACAAGATTCATCCGAAATAAGTCGTAACTTAGGGAACTGCAATTATGTCTTAGCTTTGTATGAATAATGTTTAGTTTACGGTCACCAATACCAAAGTAAGGAGGCAAAAGAAGATCGTTAGGTAGTGAAGACTTTCTGAATAAGTTCAGCGAGGCTGATGACCTGGTAGAGTTATCGAAGAGTTGATGGCAAGAAAGAAGACATGGTAGTTGAAAGATTATTGTTAGCCATGCAGTGACATTGTTTCAGATAATTATATATTTCACAGCCTCCAGTTGAACTCATTATCTTACAGGAAAAATTAAATCAGTATGCATGTTAACTCGGTGTTATGATAAACCCGCATTAACCGTGTGACGACGTTTTGATGTTGCAAGTCATTTAAATGGCCTATCTCCGTATCTGTGAATTTTTGAAATCTTGAATTTTATTATATAACTAATACCATCGAGTTTAGACAATTTTTGTTTGGTAATACCATAAAAGCCCCTGACTTAAGAATAAACGTTCCTTTCACAAAGCAATTGTCTATGAAGGGCTACTTTCTGTATTAGTAAAGTGAATACCCAAATGCGACGTCCGTCGGATGCCTTTGCAGTAATTGTCTTGGGAGGGTGTCGAGGGAGGAACTGGTGTGAGCCCGGATGTGGGCGTGGTCACTGTAGACATGGTCCTCGTAAATGGCGTGGCGAATAAAGGCGTGGTCCTTGATAGTTGTGTGAGGTTGGGTGTGGCCGGAGATATAGGTGTTCTGAATGTAGTCGTTGTTCCTCTACCCTCCCGTAATGGTGTACTCCAAGGTAATACATGTTGTGGAGTTCGTGGTACTACCACTGCAAGGGTGTCTATTAAAAATACACGTGTAAATCTCTGTTTGTGACAAATTCGACATTCATGTACGTTCGTATTGCTTTTTCCTGGAAGATCTAGATAGATCTCAGGTTTCGCATGATGATAAGCTAGATCTATAGTTCAATTGAAAACATTTATCACCACTGGCGTAGGCAAGGGGGGGGCACTTGCCCCCCCCGTCCCCCCCTCCCCTCCCCCATAATTGTCCCAGAGGTGACTTTTGTGAAACGTTATTTATTTCAATACATTATATCGACTTATCTCAGTATTATTATGTCGTTATTTTCCTTCAAAATGCAGGAAATGGAGCCATAATTTTCAAAATTTTCTGGGTGAGGACACCCAGACCCCTCGCCAAAGCTTCGCGCCTTCGGCTTCGCCGGCGTTGCCAGATTTTTGCCTCCCCCCAACTTTAGATCCTGGCTACGCCACTGTTTATCACCTATATTATCGTTATCGCTGTTTGTTACTGGTACAACAGCAGAAGGCGACTCCCACCAGTCCTGTCCTTGGTGTCTCAAGGAAGGTGTGGTCGGCACATGCTGTGCTGGTGAACAGCTGTTCATTTTCAACAAAGGTTGTCTCGAAGCAGCCCCTTTAAATATAACATCCAAAGAGATTGTCTGAATTTCAGTATACTAATCAATCAATCTTACTTTCTGTTTGCGTACAATTATCATGAACGTCGGCTAATACGACTGTTTGACAAAGTAACTAAATTGTATGTAAAATTACCATGTAATGTTAACTTTATTAATATATTTATATAAATTTTACTAAAATGTGTGATTACCGAAGTCGTTTGTCGAAAATGAAACAAGAAATCGATACACTACTTTATACAAACCACAGAGATTATAAGCAGTAATGACGCTAACAACACAGCAGCAAGTACTCCCAGTGGCATCGTGATTAGGGCAAGTTCTTCAATTGACAGTTTGGAACTTATTATTCTAAGCAGGAGTGAACAGCAAAGGATTCCGAGAAGAAATGATTGCATTTTCACCAGAATATAGTTTTGCGTACAATTTAGTTACAAAAATTTTGTCAATATTACTTTTAACGAATTGGTATCCAAGCGCCCTTTCTACTTCGATTTTGTCGTCTGGTTAAAAATCCTTTTCAGACTAACCAATGAAAATGAGCGATAGATAAATTTTTCGACTAAAGACCAATCGACGTGCTCGTCTCATTACAACAGGAAGTTGTAAGAACCTACGGTACTTAGGCTAGTGTATTTTCGATAACTTTTACTACAAAAATGACCAGAAGACCCGTTTTAGCAATTGGTTTGAAATATATTTGATGGTAGCATCCTCGGACACACTAGCCTATCATAGGCTTTGCCAATAACACCAGGGACGGTAGACTAGTGAGTATAAGCTTGAATCACATGCACGACCACAGGCCCAGTCGAACTGGCTGTATGCAGCTATAGGCCTATTTCACTTTTGTCGGCGCATCCCTGAATTTTTCACAAGCATAACCCTTATCATGACTACCTAATTCTAGACATTTTAGAGACCATTACATATTCTACAAGATTCGGAAATTATATCGTCATACCCCTTTTTCTCGCGCACAGATATGCCATATACTCTAATACATGACACAAGACAAGTGCTCGCCTCGTTTGTCAATACACCCATGCACTAGTTTTTGCGTATGAATGTATAAACAGGCGAGGCTAGTGTCTGTGGTTGTATCCACCCATATTTCTTCTGTCCACTTTCTTCACGTCTGCTGCTTTTCACTTTGAACACTACACTGACTTTTTACCGCACACCACAGACCTGAATCAACCACTAACTAATTACTCTCATGCGGTTTTGATGGCGTTACATAATCCTTTTGAAAGTTGTGGAGAATTCTATTCTTTAGTTAGTGATAAACCAAACAAGTACCCTGCTTTGGAGAGCTATCAAGTCTGGAAAGGCTGAAATTGCTAACACCTAACTACAAATGTGTACATGGAGATATGTTTTTCATGATAAGAAGCCACAATAACGTTTGAAGGGTAACAAATTTTCTGATGAGTGCCATCAATAAATATTTTGAAAACAGACAGGAGAAGCACTGGATCAATAGTAAATTTAATAATGATAATGAAATAGAAATTATTTAGCTGTTGTATTAGCATACTATTTTCATTTATAGTGAAGAGGAACCAGTTTTCTAAAAATTACCAAAACTAAGCTAAAGGAATCTAAATTCAAATAAAAATGTTTTGAGCTGTCTTCTTGTCTACCTTCTCAAGTTATTTTTGCATGCTTTTTAGGAGCTATGAACCCAAGAACAATATTTTCCCCAAAATGTCCGGTACTGAGGACCTATGGCAGTAGGACAAGGATTAGTAACCGGCCGAGAGGGATTCTCCTACAAAAAACACAAAGCCAGATTGGAAATTCCAAAGCACATGAAAATACCAACACTTTCAGCTTGTCTGGTAAAAAAATGATTTAAATATACAAATTTGGTGGCAATGAGGAAATCGCGCATTTGCAATTACATATATTTCTATATTGCAAGTGTAATGAGCACAATCATATATTAATGCAGTATCTTGAGTGTTGAAATAACATTGTCGCCAAAATAAGTATGTTTACAGTATTGGTGATTTTTTGCAATTATTTGAAGTTTGGATGATCCAATGTTTTGGTTTAAATTGTTAATGTCATTAAAGTTCTGTATTAGATGCTGATTGGTCTACATCCAATTAAGTG